TCGGGCCCCATCGCCCGCACCCACCACACCCCCTGCCAGCTGCATGTTGTTACTACTTTTTAATTTGACCAGAGAGAGAGAAAAGAAAGCCAACTGCCAGGTCAGGGCATTGAACCACGGTCGGCCATGTAGAAATCCCGTGCCTTTAACCACCATGCCCGGCCGACCCCAGCGTCCTGTTTTCTCTCTAACCCAGGCATGTGGAGTGACAGTGCTGCCCTTACTGAGATGAGGAGGGCAGGGCAGGCTGGAGTAGCAACTGAATTGAGGTCTGACAAATTGACCTTTATTTTTTTTTTTTAAGTTTTTGCCGTTGGGCACATGTGCTTGCCAAAGAGAGGGAAAGTGAGAAATCGCCTCTTGGGGTTTTGAGCATGCCACAATCCCTTCTCCCATCTTCCTGCTGGAACTCTGGACAGGCACCATCCACAGGGTGTCATTTTGCACACCACGGGCTCTGGGACTTGAACCGCAGTTGGCCATGTGAGTCCAGCATCTTAACCACTGCTCCACCTTCTGGCCCCATCAGGTTGACTTTGAGGCATTCGCACACGAGGACCTGGTGTCAGGGGTCTGCTGTGGGGCTGGGGTATACAGGCAGATGGGGGTTCGCCGTAGTCTGACGAGGTCCCTGGAGGGGAGCAGACAGGAGGGAAGGGCTAAGCCTCCGGGCACCCCTGCTGTTCCCATCAGATGGTGCTGTGCTGGGTACCCCTGCTGTTCCCCACCAGATGGCGCCGTGCCCCTGGGGAGCGGCCGCCGTGGGGTCCTGGGTCCCTCCGTCAAGGCCGAGCGTGACCTGGCCCTCCCCGTGTCCCCGCAGACCGCCGACCGCCAGTACATGGAAGGCTTCAATGACGAGCTGGAGGCCTTCAAGGAGCGCGTGCGCGGCCGGGCCAAGCTGCGCATCGAGAAGGCCATGAAGGAGTACGAGGAGGAGGAGCGCAAGAAGCGGCTCGGCCCCGGCGGCCTGGACCCCGTGGAGGTCTACGAGTCCCTCCCAGAGGTGCGCTCCCTGGGCCAGGCCGGGTGGGGGCGGGACCCCGGCGTCAGAGGGACCCAAGTGACCCTGGCGCGTGCACCCCCAGGAACTGCAGAAGTGCTTCGACGTGAAGGACGTGCAGATGCTCCAAGACGCCATTAGCAAGATGGACCCCACCGTGAGTAACCTGCGGGTCCCAGGCCCTCGGGGACAGCCATGTCTTCCTGCCCCACCCCCAGCCCAGCCTCCCCCCTACCCGGGTCTCTGGAGCAGGCTGGGTAAAGCGTCCCTCCTGGGTCTCCAAGCCCACGGAGGTCAGGTCACCGTGCCGCATGCACACTTGATTAGGCACCTGCGGCGTACTCAGCACCCAACAGCGAGTGGAGCACCCTTGGGGTGGTCCCCCAACGTGGCCATTGTCGGGCGTGCAGGTGCACCGCCTCCGGTCCAGACCGAGCCCTGCACTGGGCCATGTGGGATCCAGTGCCTTAACCACCACGCCATCTGCTGGCTGCCTTTCCCTTCATATTTCCTCATCCCGTCAGCATTTGAGACTTGCACTGAGCTAAGTGTGTTTTTCAAGATGTTGAGGCCAGGACTTGAACCCTGGTTGACCATGCAGGGGTCCAGCTTCCTTTCTGTAGGACCAAGATGCTGCACTACAGGGTTAGCCGTTAATTTAAATTTAAATTTGGAACCAGCAGGTGACGTAACAGCTATATCGTTGGACTCCCATGTAGTTAACCGTGGTTTGAGTCCTTGGGCCTGGTGGCTTAAAGTCACGCCGGGCGCGTGTACGTGCGTGCCCAAGATCCTGAGAGGAGAATGGGGGAGAAGGGATTGCGGAGTGACCATCTCCCTTGTGGAGTGATTTCTCGCTTTCTGTCTCTGTCTGTCTGGCGAGCGCACACGCCCTATAGCAAAAATCTCCAAAAAAATAAAACACTCAAGGCTGGGAGGCCAGAGGTGGCAGGGTGCTTGATGGTGCTGGGCTCCCCTGTGACCAACCATGGTTTTTGTCCCAGATCTGGTGATTTGCTTTCTTTCTTTCTCTCTCTGTATCTCCCTCTCTGGTCAAATTAAAATAAATAAATAAAGATAAATAAAATAACCCTTAAAAAAATTTTTAAAAACTCTCTTTAACAAAATGTAGGTCAGTAAAGTTAAAATGCCAGCCAGCTGCCCCGGCTGCCCTGGCAGGGCTGGGCATCCCCATGCGGCCAGCGGCTGATGTCGGGCAGCCCCGCCCATAGAACATTCCCCAGAGCGCAGCTCCAGGCCGGGCGGGCCGTGGGGCAGTGGTGGCCCAGCCTGACTGTCCCCCTCTTCTCCCCACAGGATGCCAAGTACCACATGCAGCGCTGCATCGACTCCGGCCTCTGGGTCCCCAACTCCAAGTCCAGTGAGGCCAAGGAGGGGGAGGAGGCGGGCCCCGGGGACCCTTTGCTGGAAGCCGTCCCCAAGCCGGGCGACGAGAAGGATGGCAGCGCGTGACGCTCCCCGGCCACCACCACCAGCGCCGCCTGCCTGCAGGCTCCTGTGCGCCCCTTTCCAGAAAACAGAAATAGACACCGTGTCCCCAGCTCCAGGCTTCCTCCACTTTCACCGCTCCCCCAGCGCGGGGGGCCTGCCCTGTCCCCCCCACTGCCCTCGCCCCCCAGCGCTCATTCAAGTTTCCGCTTTGAGTCGAGGGGCTTCACTGCCTGTCGCCCCCGTCAGCGTTATGCCAAAGGCCCCGGGGGCCCGGGGAGGGGCAGAGGCTGCCAGGCTGGTCCACCAGGTGGAGGGGTCCCAGGCCGAGGGGCTGCCCTGTCACCACCATGGGCTCCGATGTCACTGTTGGTTTGCTGCTGAGCCTTCTGTCTGGCAAACAGCCACGATCTTCAATAAAGGATTTCAGATGCTCGCGGGCGGCCGAGGGCCCTTCTCTGGGGTGGCAGGAAAACCAGTGTCGGGCCGAGCTCGCAAAGCCCCAGACTTTGGCCCTCCTGGCGCTCGTGCCGTCCCACTGCCAGGAACAGTGAAGTCCTGGACCGTCGGTTTCTTGCAAGGACCCTTCCCTGGTCAGTCCTGTGCTGGTCTTGCCTCCCAGCCGCTTCCGTGGGCTCCTACATCCTTGGCTCAAAGTTCTGCCTCCAGAACAGAGTTTTTCATACTTTTTTCCTGAGCTTTTTTTGGAGAGGTTTTTGCTATAGGGCGCATGTGCTCACCAGAAAAAGAGACAGAGACAGAGAGATAGCAAGAAATCACCCCCAGGGGGGATGGCCACTCTGCAATCCCTTCTCCATTCTCCTCTTGGGATCTTGGGCATGCACGCACACGCGCCTGGCATGAGTTTAAGCCACCGGGTTCGGGACTCGAACCGTGATCAGCTACATGGGAGTTCAGTGATATACCTATTACGCTGGTCCCAATATTTTTTGTTTTGTTTTAAGAAAGATTTTTTTTGCATTCCCACATGACTGACTGGTTCGAGTCCCAGACCCGGTGGCTCCTTTTCTTGCTTTCTCTTTCTCTCTGCCTCTCTCTGGTCAGATTAGAAATTAATAATAACAAATGAGACTAGATACAGTTTTTATTTAAAGATTTTTGCTACGGGGGAGCATGCACTCAACAGAGAAAATAAGAAATCAACCCCCCAGATTGGATGCCCACACCGCAGACCCCTCCACTCTCAGGATTTGGGGTATGGACGTACACCCAGTGGACACAGCCAGTGTAGTTTCAAGCCGCAGGGTCTGGAAGCCTGAACCACAGCTGAGCACGTGTGAATTCAGTGAGGCAGCCTGGCGGTGGGGAGATGGGCCGTCCTGAGGGGAAGGGCTGTGTATTGAGAGGTTAGGCAGCCGGGGGAATGGGCGTCTCTAATGGAGATTACCATGGTCCCAGCGGTTCTGTCCTTGTTCTTTTATAGGGGAGGTAAAAACTACATGTTTTTATTAGTAGTATTATTCATTTTTTTATTTAAATTTGACGAGAGGGACAGAGTGAGAGTTTGAAAGCAAGTATCCAGATCCGGGACTCGAACCGTGGTCGGCCATGTGGGAATCCACCACCATGCCACCTGCTGGCCCCCAAACCACATATTTTTGTATATAATTTTTTAAAAAGAATTATTTAGTTTTATTCATCTATTTTAATTTGACCAGAGAGAGAGCAAGCCACCAGATCCAGGACTCGAACCATGGTCAACCATGTGGGAATGCTCTGTGTCTTAGTCACCACACTACCTGCCGGCCCCTTTTTTTTTTTTTTTTAAGAATTATTTTAACTTGCTTAATTTGACCAGAGAGGGACAGAGTGAGACAAAGTGAGAAAGCAGCTGCCAGGTCCAAGACTTGAACCGCAGTCAACTATGTGGGAGTCCAGCGCCCCTAACCACCATGCCACCTGCCACCGGTTCCCCCCTTTCTATATTGACTGCGGCTGTTAGAGCTTGGGCTTGTCCTGCTACATCAGCGCAAAGACCATCTGCTTGAAGGCTCTCCCCGCACAGTGCGTTAACCACTACGCCCCCTGCTGGCCGCCAGAAAACCTGTGTCCCCGTCTCAGCCGCCCTTCCTGTCCCAGCCAGCCTGGGTTCCAGGCTCACCCATAGACCCTGGGGCTCTGGGAAGTGTCTGAATCTCAACCCAGTACATTCCCCACGTGGGTCTGGTTGTGCTACCACTGGGCCACCACCTGGCTCCTCTTGTGACTTTCAAGAAGCCTGCCTTGGGACCAGCAGTTAGTGTAATGGCTATGTCGCTGGACTCCCATGTAGTCGACCACAGTTCAAGTCCCAGACCCGGTGGCTTAAACTCATGCCGGGTGCGTGCCCAAGATCCCAAGAGGAGAATGGAGGAGAAGGGATTGCGATGTGGCCATCCCCCTGGGGGGTGAATTACCGCTTTCTGTTTCTGTGTCTTTCTGGCGAGCGCACTTGCCCTATAGCAAAAACCCTATCCAAAAAAATAAATAACTCACAAGAGGCACATTTGCATGTGTGCCCAAAACCCCAAGAGGAGAATGGAGAAGAAATTGCAGTATCCTGGGGGGGAGTGTAATTTCTCACTTTCTGTCTCTCTGTCTTTCTCTTTCTAGCAACTGCACACTCCCTACAGCAAAACCTGTCAAAAAAAACAAAAAAAAGAATTTATTTAACTTTATCTGTTATTATTATTAAATTTGACCAAAGAGAGACAAAGAAGGAAAATGAGAAAGTAAGCCGCCAGGTTCAGGACTCGAACCGTAGCTGGCCTCATGGTAGACCAGAGCCCATAAGTGCCACGCCACTCACTGGCCTCTTTCTTAGTACTTAGAGACTAAATTCAACAACCACAAAAAATGGCATGAGGTATTTCTACTGCAGAGGAGGGCTTAGGGATAGTGAAGACTCCAGGTCAGGTCATAAAATTAGATATCTCTGATCTTCTGGAGTCTTCTGTCCTCGGGGACCCACTGTCACTCAGACCACGGCTCAGTGCCACCTCCTCCCAGAAGTCCCCTTGACCTGCTCTCTGAGTTGTCCTCACATGCGGCCATGCCCCGCTTTGTCAATTCGTGTGTCGTTGCCTCCCATGTATCAGGGCACAATCAGTGGCTTTCTTTCTTTCAAAAGATATTTATTTATTCATTCTAATTTCCCCCAGATAGAACGTGAGAAAGCAGACCACCAGGCCTGGGATTCAAACCCTGGCTAGCCATGTGGGAGCGTCCAGCGCCTTAACCACCACACCACCTGCTGGTCGCGTAGATCAGAGGCTTTCTGGTTTTTTGCATTAACCACAGTCCCCAGAAGGGGTTCTGGCACACACAGGTGGTCTTCAGGAAAGTTCCGCAAAGTTCTGAATAAAGAACTAAGAATGCAGTTCCAGCCAAGCCGGTCACCACCAGGGGGCGATAACAGACTGCAAAATACAAGCGCAATCCCCAGCGCTTTGTCTATGCGTGAGCCGGGCAAGTCCTGGCTGGGGCGGGGGAACCTGAGGCCAGGAGTATACCTCTCCCAAGTCCAGGACCCACAACTTCTCTTTACGGCAAAAACTCTTTTTATTTTTATATTTTCTTTTAAAAAATTATTTAATTTAATTTATTTATTTCCTTCTTTTAATTTGACCAGAGAGGGACAGAGAGAGTGGGAAAGCAAGAAAGCAAGTCACCAGGTCCAGGACATGAACCACTGTCGGCCATGTGGGAGTTCAGCTCCCTTAACCACCACACCACTTACCAGCCCCAACAAGAACTGATTTTTGGGGGGGCTGGCAGGGGGTGTGGTGGGTAAGGGCTCTGGGCTCCCCTATGGCTGAATTGATAAATAAAATAAATAATTCTTTTAAAAAAATAAAATACAGATGATAGAATTTAAAAAACAAAACCTGGTGTTTATTTTAATTATTTTATGCAACTTTATTTATTTATTTATTTTAATTTGACCAGAGGGGACAGAGTGAGAGAGAGAGAGGGAAAGTGAGAAAGCAAGCCACCAGGTCCGGGACTCAAACCGTGGTCAGCCATATGGGAGTCCAGAGCCCTTAACCACCACACCACCTGCAGGTCCAGTTACTGCAAAAACCCTTAAAGGTAAAATCAGCCTCATTTTCTGCTCAGCGATGTTCCTGTTCCTTTATTTATTTAAAACTGAAACATCACTCATTATTTGCTTTTTATTTTAAGATTTTTTCTATAGGGCAGGTACACTCACGACAGAGAGACAGAGAGAGGGAAAACGAGAAATAACCCCCCAGAAGGGATGGCCACACCACAATCCCCTCAGCCCAGCACATAAGGTCCCAGTTGTGTGCTCGAGTGAACTTTCTAGAGAATATAGACTCGTACCCATCAGGGCGTGGAGCCTTTTTGGAAAGATGCCCAGGAAATCCTGATTTAGGGAGGGGGCTCTGTTCCCTGAACACTGCCATGCAAAAGAACACAAAGAATTGTTTTCAATTCATCAACTATTGGCGTTTCCCAGTTCCGGTGGGAGCTCTGGGGGAGGCCCCTCTCTGCAGGCCTGGCAGAACCAGGGGAATCCCCGCTTCTCAGCTGCCTGCAAACCCGCAGGGTGGAGTGGCCCGTCGTCCCGGTTTGCCCAGGACTGTCCCAATTTTAGTACAGAAAAGCCCAGGTTGGGTAAGTCCCCGCAGTCCTGGGCAAGCCCCTCGTGTTGGACACTCTTGGGGCCAGGTCTGCATCGTAGGAGTTCGGGAAAGGCCTCGGGGCCTGAGGGCAGGTCTGTCTGCCTTCCAGCCACCTCCGTGCCTTCATTCATAATTTGCTATTGGCGGGTGGGCTCACTGGAGAGAGACAGGGTGGGGGGCGTTTTTCTTTTTAGAGATTTTTGCTATAGGGTACATGTGCTCCCTGGAGAGACAGAGACAGAGAGACAAAAAGTGAGAAATCACCCCCTCCGGGGGGATGGCCAGGCCACAATCCCTTCTCCTCCATTTTTCCTCTAGGGATTTTTGGCACACATGCACACGCACCCGGCGTGAGTTTAAGCCACCGGGTCTAGGACTCGAACTGCGGTCGACTACATGGGAGTCCAGCGACATAGCCATTACGCTAACTGCTGGTCCCAAGGTGGGGGCTTTTGAGAAAATATACTCCAGAGGATGGCCACATAGTAACCCCTGCTCCAGTGTCCTCGTGGGATTTCAGGCACACACGTGTCTCTGGCATGTTTTTCTTTAATTTCTTTCTTTCTTTCTTTTTTTTTTTAAAGAGATTTTTGCTATAGGGCGTACGTTCCCCGGAGAGACAGACAGAAAGTGAGTAATCACCCTCCGGAGTGGGATGGCCATGCCACAATTCCTTTTCCTCCACTCTGCTCTTGGGGTTTTTGGTTACATACACACACACACACACACACACACACATGCGTGTGCTCCTGGCGTGAATTTCAAGCCTCTAGGTCTGCGGCTCAAA